AATGGACCAACAGTGATCAAGGACTACGTTGGAAGCTCAAGTACAATGGAGAAGAATTCCAGGTCAACATGAAATTCTCCGTTGCCTTCCTCATTGGTGATACTGCCATGCATGACAAGCTTTGTGGCAAGACAGGTGGTAGCCGAACCCGACTCCACCAGCAAACTTTTGAGTGATAGCAGTCAGGACTTAAGCAAGATCTCCATTGGCACCTTTGAGGCACCCTTCTAATTTGAATTTGATATTGGTTTTCATTGCTTCTAACACTTGGACCTCACTTTGAGGATCTTTCCGCATTTGTTTGATCTTGGTGTCATTGATGGTAAGGGTTCGTATCATCAGTGGACATGAGGGGACAGGGCCCAAGAGCACCAAGAGTCAAAAGCGATGTCTACAACTCTCCATTTTACAATTTCTACAACAGGAATTCCGCCGACCACTGTCAGCATAGAAACAAAGATGCTATTGCAGCTATTGATTCAGTTTGGGACAAAGACAGCACTTGTGCTAAAAGGTTTCGACGAAGGTTTGGCATTCCCTACAGCTACTTTGATCAAGTCTACAATGATTGGAATAGGGAAGAAAATAGTAGGAGTAGAAGAGCAAGAATTCATATAAATGTAATCGTTATGTTATTACGAGGGTGTTGACTTACAAAGTAGTAGGTGTTGAAGATAGTAACGTAGATTGAATTGTATTGTTAAAAAGAGTGTGCTATTGTCGTTTCATCAACAGGCTTCCGCAAAGGCAGATCCCGTTCACTTACGGACACAACCATTGCATGCGTGTGCAATAGCACGGTAGCCTTCATTTTGATAACTTGTCTAGTACGTCCATTCCCAAATAAGCGCCCTCTCCTTTCTAGTGCCAATCGCTTCGTGAAGGTATCAGCAAGGTTCAACATTCCTGCAATCCATGATACGTCAACGACTCCTGCAGCCACATTCCACCTTGTATAATGATAAGCAATCGAATTATGCTTCTTGTTTAAAGTGGATTCGACCATTGTTGAATTTGTCACCATGCTCTCGTTGTCGCAAAATACGTGCGATGGTCCTTCTTCCAAAGGTATTCCGAACATCCTCAATTTGAATCTCAAATGAGTGATCGCCTCAATGCATGAATTCAAAGCAATGAATTCGGAACCAAATCGCTTCTACCGTATTCTGTCGCTTGCTGTGCCATAAGATAGGTGCCCGATTGAGGAAAATTATGTACCCCGTATGTGATTTCCGCGTCTTCTTATTGGCGCCATGTGAAGCATCTACCCAGGCAGTACTCCCTACACTTTGTCCCCTTGGTTTGGGTGTGTTGTGTGGCATCTCTTCCGTCGCATCTCGGTAGTATGCCTCAAAATCTTCCATGGAGGACCTCAACTTGGAATAGTCTACGTTTGGCGTCCTCCAGTCGTAGTAAAGGGTCAATTTTGGGAAGGTGTCCAAGAAAGCAAATGTCCTCAATGCTTGTTCCATGTGTCCTTCCCTTGGAGCTGCTTGATACTGGCTCAGGAGTGATACTTCCAGTACGATATCAACTCGTCCAATCTCTATCCCAATCAGCTCTTGGAAGTAGGTATGGTCTTCTTGTCCTAATTCGCTTGATCCATCCATCTCCGGTTCATAGGCACTAGTCATTGGCGTCGGCGCATTCTTGGGTACTTTCCATTTTGGGCTGTCCTTTAACGTTTCCTTGAGGTTTTTGACCGCTGCCACGACATAGTCATACCTTGACATTGCCCACATGTCGTGTCCATCCAAACTCTTCTTTCGTAACCTAGCTCCCAGGTAGCTTTCTGGAGGTTCAATCTTTCCTTTCTTGAACTTGAATACCCTTCCAATTCCTTCCATCACTGCTTTGGCTTTCATCGACATACATAGGATGTCGTCAACATAGCAAAGGATGTATTCGTAGTATTCCTCGCCGTCAGGTTTCACTGCCGCTCGCATCCAAACGTCTGGGCCGGCAGTTGATGAGCTGAATCCCAAATCCTCCAAAGTCTCCGCCAGGTGTGATCTGAATGCTGTGGATGAACTTTTGAAGCCATATAATGCTCTTCTTACGATAAATGCCTTGCCTTCTTCTTCACCAAACTCGGGTCCTGCTACCAGGTAGCACTTTTGGATTGCCGGTGCAGTGAGGAATGCGTTTTGAATATCCGCGCATTGCAAGTCTAATCCGTTTAGTGCTGCTATCATTAGTAGTATCAGAACTGAATCGCGGGACACTACTGTACTGTAGGTCAATGCTGCGGGTGCTTCAGTCTTGTGTCCATCAGCGCAGTACCTCGCTTTCCTTCGGAAGTTTTCCCCTAGTTTCACGTCAAATACTAGGTGTCCCGTGATCTTTTTGTAACCCATCAGCTTCTCTACGTCTCCATCAAATTCTTCAAAAGCGACTAGATTGTTTTTCATCTTCATTTGAATTGAGTCTTGCCATAGCGTGTCCCCATTTGCTTTGTCGATTTCGATGGCCTCTTTGATCGATTTTGGGATACGTATTCCGTACTTGTGCGTACGTTCCCAGTACTTTGATTTTACTTTGCCAAGGAATCGCTTTCGCTTTCGAACAACGTGTGGGATCCACCATGCAAAAGCGGGTTCGTCTTGGATGCCCTTGCTTATTGCGTAATCAGCCACTTCAATCGGGAAAGACTCCTTCATATCTTTCAGAGGTATCCAATTCGAGGAACCATCTTTCCAAGTAACGTAGAAGTCCCATCCTGCTGTCGTGTGTCTGTTGGTGAAATGGGATCTTAACAAATAAAAGAACAGTCGAACATGTCGGACAGTGAAGTCGGACATTCGTGATATCGAACACGGACGGGAGTACGGTTCGAGTACTTACAGAGATGGATAAGTATTGAAGGTAGATCCAGATCTGTGACTAGTTTGTGAAGAACATGTGCGTATGTGCTTTATGCGCCGCGACAGCTGGTGAGAGCTGACGCAGGTTGCTTCCGGAAGAGATTTTTTGTACCTGCTTGTGGTACGTGGGTTTTGTACCGGCCTTTCTGGATTGCATAACATCCAGTAAAGTTTTGGGAAATTTGAGTTTTCGTGCAAGGCTTTTGCTTTGCCCATTCCATGTAGATAACAAGTCTTTTAGAATAGTTATTTCCTGTAGAGATGATTATTTCCTATTAGGCGGATCGGAGATCGCTATGGACGGTGCCTCTGCATGATGGGTCGCATGCTGGCACGGCTGGTTGGCAATCATGGCTTGATGGGCCACAACGTTGTCAATCGGTTTGGACGAAGACAAGCAGAACGGTCATGTCACCTGGAACACCCGGCAGATCGATGACTTTAGAATTCCTTGTGGTTCCTTCTCGCGAGATGACTAACTAACGAAGAAGACATTTCTCATATATAAGAACATCTTGTCATTCATAAATAGTTTAGAACCAAAAGGGACATTTTTTTTAATCTTTTGTCATTAATAATTTATTTAGAGGTCCAGCTGACATAATGATGGAAAAACTGCTTTCAGGTCGCGACTCATGACTTCTTCGTTCCGAATAAAAATTACTCGTTCCGAGTAAAAATTACTCGTTCCAAATAAAAATTACTCGTTCCGAATAAAAATTACTCGTTCCGAATAAAAATTACTCGCTTTGCAATGTGAGTTATTTCTCCTTTTGGTGGCTTCTCATCGTTTTGGTGGCTTCTCATCGTTTCTGGAAGTCCCACAAAAATATCCCCCGGACTGTTCAGTCCTACCCCCCATGATCTTCATTGTTGGGATATGACGAAATATGAGTTTTTACGTTCCAAAAAGAAACTATTCAAGTACGAGGTTTTCGACACGTGCGATCGGAATTTGATCGTGCAAGATGTCGGGATTCGACGCAAGTATGCCGGACGCAAGTCTGTCGGACAATCTGTATCCACACAAACAGGAAAAGATCCTGTACAAGTGGAATATTGATGTTGTGTACGATGCAGTAGGGAATAATGCAAGATATCCCAAAGTACTGCATTCAACACAGAACTGTTGTAGAAGTCGAATTGAGTTCTGTAAACAAGGGATTTTCCAAGGGAAAATCGTCGAACTCACTTTTGTGATTGAATCATCAATTCAAGCCAAACATTAATCAAATAGGAACTTCTAACATGGGGGATCCACCATGCAAAACGGGTTCGTCTCGGATGCCCTTGCTTATTGCGTAATCGGCCACTTCAATCGGGAAAGAGTCCTTCATATCTTTCAGAGGTATCCAATTTGAGGAACCATCTTTCCAAGTAACGTAGAAGTCCCACCCTGCTGTCGTGTGCCGTCTTTGTTGCGCTCCACTTGCGAGGGGATAAAAGGCATCTTTCATCTTTACTGCCTTCTCATCAGAACGATGTTCCGTGATCTCTTCCATTAGTAAGTGTCTGTGTCCATGTTCGTCCACTTGTGCTAATAA